TGATTCCTTGACAAATTCCTAGTTGACACCGCACAGGCAGGTCTCCGAGCTCGTCTCCGAATTGACGCCGACTTTCAGGAACAAACGGGAGATGGATTTCCGGTCAATCCCCGGTTGTTCCTTAACAGTTCCTTAACGGGACCGCGCCGGTACTCACCTACCTACCTACCTTATCCAGCCAGCCCTTCCCACAATGGCCAGAACATTCAACTTCCCTCCCACAGGTCACTTAAGGAGCCAATCTAACGTCGTTCCCAGAGTCCCGTTGGTTGCTACGTGTCAAACAGCTTCCCACCGACCGCCGCCTTCCTTAGATCGACTGTCAGACGCCATGCTGTTTGCCCACCTTACGAAGTGCTATCTCCGGGACCAAAACTTCAAATAGCCCTTAGGAGCCCTGTACAATGTACTAGACTTCAAGGTAAGTTCGACTTTCTCATTCGGACTGCCACGGCTATACAGGCGGAATAGCTGTTACGGTATTACCGTGCGGCGTGCAAGCTTATTTTACGCTGTCACGGTCGGTCCGGACGTTAGATTGGGCTATCAGTGCTATTCACGTCCCCTGCCCAAACCTGTACTCTTATAAACCCTGCGGCAACTGGAGCGCTCATGCGCGACCCTGCTCCAGCCATGGCAGCTGCCCCAGTGAGCCTGGACTTGAACCTCCAGAGCACTTACGGTGTCCTGCTTATCGGCTGTTTCCTTTCTGCCGCAGTGTGGGGGGTATCTTTCGTACAGACGTGAGTGCCTTTCCGTTTCCCCCATCTCAATCGAGTTCGAACTGACCACTCGCCAGAATATTGTATTTCATGATGTAGGTGGAGATTACTTGAAGAATATCCATTTCAACTGTAAATTGCGTCAGGTATGAGAAGGACCCCTGGAAGCTTAAGCTCCTGGTACGGATTTGCCCTGAATTTGCCCAGCCAGGATTTACTGACAAGTGACATGTAGATCCTGTTTCTAATGTGTGTCCTTGATTCATATCACAAACGAAGGTTTCGTGATCAAACTTCCAGCCTTGTTGATACCGCCAACGAAATCCTTGTGTTGAGGTCAGGTAAGCCAGTAATATGTTCTGCGTCTGAAACAATTCACTTTTCGCCGTATTCTAGTCTGGCCAGGGCTTATTTTGCACTGGGGTCGCGTCGACGTCCTGGGGAAGTCGGAAGGGACTATGTAAGTGCTCACCCCAAGTTCACTACTTTACCGACCGACATTGTTCAATGCAGTGAACTCATAGTCCGTCGCATCCATCTCGTTCGTTATTCTGATCAATACTCCCCACGCAGCATCACGTCTGGGTCGCTGTAAGTCGCAATCCCGTACCTGTGGCGGATAGCGACTGACGTCATGAAAGGCGATCGTTGCCGCGGCGGTACAATCATACTACACTTGGAGGATTTACACACGTGCGTATTTTCTACGTGCAGCTGTCGACGTCTCATCTATCTCACAGTAAGCGGTCGAAAACTTCTTGTTCCTTATCTTTTGGTACACAGCATTTCTTTGGCGTTTTGCAATGCACTAAAAAGCAAACAAAGATTCCTTTGATATCGTGGCAAATCAGTCGGTGTTCAACCTCCACTGACGTTCTGTGAACTAACCATGGCGACCTGCAGTTGGCCTGGCGCGTAAGTTCTTTGACCTCTATCGCCAGGTGCTCCTGAGCTAACACAACGCCAGCATATAATTTCCTTGCGTGAGCGTACTTTGAGTCATTCATACAATAGAATCTGACCGCTATGCAGTTTCGGGCATACTACCGTCTCTGCGGGAAAACAAACCAAGCAACTAACTGTCCGTACAGCGTCGTATATTATTTGTCCACGAAACCGATCTTGACCTGTACAGGCAGTTGCAATATCTCTTCGGGCAACAGGAGCAGCGACTGATATCCTCATTGCGGGAGCCATGATCTATCTACTTACCCATTCACGCGCTCAGTTCACAAGGTAATTACCAAAGTGCTGCAAAGATTACTTAATTGATTTATGACTTCCTCCTTCAAGCACAAAACGATTAGTCTCTAGGTTACTCATTCTATCCATCAATAGCGGCGCATGGACAGCTATACTGGCAGTGCTAGATTTCATTTCGGTTCGTCTTCGGTCAATCATCGCGATTTTGTTACGTAGCTCATTTCCGGAAGATCCTGGCATTCCCAATCGATTTCACGTTCTGTATATTCGAGCTGCCTCTGTGTTCTCTGTATCTGAGCACATTACTTCTCAACCTGAACGCCCGAACGTTCATCAACAATGTCCACACAAGCATCGACTTGGCTGACATGACCCGGAGTGGGGATAGAACTCGTAGCGAGTCTGGGGGAACTATACATTTCGTCCCACAACCACAGGGACATCGCCTCTCCACTGGGACGACATTTTTGTCGCAGGATGTTCGTTTGCTTTCTTCATTTCTTTCTACCGCTGATCCGTTGTTCACTCAGGACTCTGGGTCAACCGCGCTACAGAAATACACTTTGACGTCACGGGAGGACATGGGTGCAGAAAAACCCGAAGACGCGGTATGAACTACACCAGGATTTTTAAAAAGCTAAACCGCCACATTGCGGATTTCAACTCGGAGGATATTGTATTCAAACTGCTGTATTACTTGATCATAACTGCTCGCACTTGGTTGGGCTATGTTTTAGCACACTGAGCACAGTACCGAACCATTCAGGCCCAAACATCCCAGAGGAAGCGTTCAATAGAGCAAAGCTCATCTAGGCCTCCTCCGGAGTGATGTTTCAAATTTCCAAGGAAGTGGTACATAGAGCAGATGGTCCACTCCAAGGTAGACGCGGCAGAATACACAAAAATTAACATGCCAACTTGAATTATTCCGACGGTGACAAGTTGAACGAGATCACCTAGTGAGTTGAACTTCACATATTATTGACCGAGCTCAAGTCTTGTGCCACAGACAAGAACCACAATGTGAAGAAAGATAGCGCCGAAACAGGAAAGTAGGCCGTTAAACGCCGTGACGTCGAGAAGCGAAAAAGTTCCGACGTCGGTAGGTAGGTAGGTAGGTATCATTACACGGCCGGTCCGAATCACGAACGCCGGTTCCAGGGATTTTCCCGGTGTACAAGCAAGTAATTACACCTTCGCCCCTGGGCCTCCTCTTGCCATCAGAACCAAGAACGCAGACCCCATAGGTTTCCCCATGCCCCACGGTACGGCCAAGACAACAGAAAGAAGCATACAAAGATTTAACCTGAAACTAGCCGGTCAGTTAACTCATCCTCGATATATAGGTGTCGCATAGAATACTTTAAGCACCTGGTGCGTAAATTTACCCAGGAGAACGATCGTTGAACGCTCATATAGGATTGCTTTTAATAGGGCAATCGGATCGAGTTCAACCACCAATTTCTGCATTTTCGGCACAGCTCGTTGAAGTTTGGAAAGAAATTCTCGGCGCAGTTCTAGAATAGCAGGGCTAGCCTGACATTCCAATAGTGCGTGCTCCGGACTTTCCACCATGACTATGCAGAAGCGGCAGAGGCGTTCATGTCTGGGAACAGGGCGACGTGCGTGGTCAGTGTGTCGCAACTTCTCTAGGGCTAGTTGATGGGTCGAAAGCAAAATCAACGTGAGCGCTTCACGATAATCTTGATTTTTCACCATGAACAGATAGTGCCGTAGATATAAAGTTTTATGAGCGGGCGGCTTGTCCTTTTGAGGTTCGCGACGACCTTGTAGTAGGTAGAGTTTTACTGACGAATCAATTTCATACTGAAGCCATCCAAGTGCCTGTGTTTCAACCTTTTTGCGGTATAGTTCCACAGTTTTTGCGGTAGCAGTCGCAAAATCGAAAGGAGGGCAATCGAAGGGTAGCTTGGATGCTGCAACGAGGACATCCCGAGCCCACGATTTTTTGTTCTTCACGGCAAGTTCAATGGAATCATGTAAACAGGCGCGTGCAAGATGTGAAGGTGGGAGCAACAGGAGATATTCCAGGTAATTTAGCAGTAGCATGAATCGACGTACTGTACTATTACGACCAAAGGTTCAGGTGATGGGTGACAGGCCCTCGTGAACTGAACAATTTTGCACTAGGTGACGGTGACTTTGAGATTTTGTGGCTAAAATGCGCCAAAAAACGTCGAAATTTTCCGTCCGGCAAGTGCCGGACTACCATATATGGTAATTTTCTCCTGATTGCGGGTGAATGAACAACTTATCCAGTGAACAATTGAGGTGACGGGTGACACCCCGTGAACCTTTGGTCGTAATACTACAGTATACGAAGCGGCATAATTCCAGTCTCTGTGAAGAGCGGTGCGAGCAAGGACTGAGAATGTACATTCAACATCTGCCGAATAAAATCAACCTGAATGGCGCATAATTCCTTGGCATGAATATCTTCACTGTCAGGGCTGACCTCGCAACCATGGATGAGGTGACAGTCTATTCGGGCCATGAACAAATATTGAGCTCTTTCGGTGCACCGGTGTTAATCGCCCGGTTGAGTCTTCGATTCCCACGATCCTGTGCGCGCAGTACCGTGCCGTGCTCAAGCCGTGCTTGCTTTTTCTTTGTAGTGGTCTTCAAACATGTTCTGTGTGTCCGTACAGAAGTGCATCCCGACGTATTTCTCGCGGGTTTTGACGGACAACGTGGTTTCTCCCAGTTTAAAGAGCAACATTGGAGTCAAATCCCGGGCACGCACGCCCTGCCGCCATTTGGCGCTGTGGGCGGCAACTACCCACAGAGAGTCGTATGGGTCGGTAGTGGCAGAAGGTATGCTCTCCACTGGGGAAGGAGGATAATATTGATCTACATATGGATTGAATGTGGTGTCACTGGCATACATGCGCCGTCCTTCCAATTTCCCTCCCTGCTTTCTTCTTTTTCTCTTCTCTGGTTGAAGGGTCCTGCAGTGGACAAAGAGAATAAAAGTAGAATATAGGCTGCGAAGGGTACATGGACAGGACTGCGTAGAGAAAAACAAAAGACCGAAATCACATGAGCGGCAAAAACTTCCGTCACGGGGAGTCGAACCCCGGGCACGCGCGAACTAAGCACATGACTAAACTCACGTGATCGGAACATTTGAGAGGCGCATATGTTACCGCTACACCATGGCGGACACTTCAGAGACTGGGTTTAGATAGTAGAAGACGAGGAGGCATGCTCAACGTGCACAGGAATTTTTTTCAACGATTCCGATGTCCGGACTGGGTACTGTACCATTTCATTCAATTCTCCAGCGTTGTGACCTGTGACACGATGGTCCGAACTTCAGATTTCGTACATGGGGCAGGACCTGCGTGACACCTAAAAATTTTCGTACATCCTCTGAAAGGGTGCAGGAAATACAAGCACACCTTTGTCTGTTATGCTGCATGTAACACTGATGTTAGAGTGAAAACTGCTACTGTTTTTGAGAGCGGAAGCAAAACTTGCAAATTGCCCGCATACGCCTCAGGAGTGAAAAATTTGCGGAAAAGGCATTTTTTCACCGTTTTGTGACTTGTTTGACATATTCGAACATGGCCTGGGTGACCTGTGACACGTCCGAAAATTTTTGGACATTTTGGGCCCTGTGACGCGTGATGTCCGAATTTGTCAGGTCCCGTACCGGGACCGGCCGGACCCGGGTTGCAATTCCACCGGCCGACTTATCCCGCGGATCCGGCTCTCTAATCTTTGCCACTCTATTGGATCTTATTGTTAAAGGTCGTCCTTATTGTTCTTACATCTTCTCCATCTCCGGATGACTCACAACCCTTATTGTCTTTATTGTACTTCCCGGATCATTCTCGGATTTTGACTTTAGTATAAATATGTAGTATTGTAAAGTAGTAGCCTTAGTTCGAATATCGACTTAGTTGGTTCCCTATTGCCTTCTCCCTCTAGTCTTTGTCTCTTCGGAAATCGGGCCTCGGGCGTACTGACGGGCGCAGCGCACGAGCTGAAGCCAAGCCCGCATCCAGTCGGAACCCGTCTCGGCCGCCGGACCCGGCGGATCCGGAACACCGCACTTGACAGTATATTCGAACTCACCGTTCATTACGCCCTTTCATGTCCAAAAAGCTCACTGCTGCTCTAAGTACAGAAGAACGTGCAGCCGAGCTTCGCAGGCAACAGAACAATCTTGCTCGCGATTTACGGGCACAGCGCCGCACCCCTTCGGAAACAATAACTCTTCGGGAATTGTCTCCCGCTCCGCGTACAAATACCACAATCCCAACCGATCGCACCACCTATAACCAACAACTCCGCGACAATTCCAGTCGCTTCATCCAGGACGCTCACACTATTCGACAAGCGGGGCATATATCAGGCATGGCTACATTCACCACTACACAAACTTACGCTACTGCACCAGAACATGCGGCCGACTCTGTTTCCCAGGGCCGCCGGGGCAGTATTTTTCCGGTAGTCGAGTCCGTACCCCCAATCGCTGTCTTTTCCCGGCACGTATCCCCGGCCACTCAACGCAGACCGCGGCATTCCCGCTCTCCTTCTCGCGGTCGTTCCCGCACCACTCGACACTCGGCTAATTCTCCTCCCGTTTCCGCTCCGGCCGCTGGCGGCGGCTCCGGCGGAAATGGTGGAGATGGCGGAAATGGCGGTGACGGAAATCAATCCCATGGTCGCTCACGCAGTAGGTCGCCTCCTAGGGATCGTGCAGGTAACACAGGGCCATCTGGTGGATCACCCCCTAGTGGGGGACCCGGTGGTCCGAGTGGTCCCGGTGGACCTAGCGGTCCCGGCGGACCCGGTGGTCCTGGTGGTGGTGGCGGAGGTGGTGGTGGGGGCGGAGGCGGAGGCGTTCCTCCTCGTGGTCCTTCTCCAACGACCCGAGGGCAAATGGAACACTTCGCTGACGCTCTCGGCGCTAGCCTTGGTCAAGCACTCTCGTCCCTAGGTAATGGCGACAAATCTCGTGCCCGCGTACGGGATCCGGACACATTCGACGGCAAGGATCCGGAAAAAGCTCCGGACGTTCCTCTTCCAAGGCGTCCTCAACTTCCGTGATCGCCCGGCGGCGTTCCGCCTTGACTCCCAGAAGGTGAATTATATGATTTCATACCTTACTGGTGATGCTCTCGGCTGGTTTGAACCCGCCCTCGTAAACCCGGACCCGGACAACATTCCCGCCTGGGTTGACAGCTACGATCACTTCGTCACTGAGCTCCAGCTCAATTTCGGCACATACGATCCCCGCCAGGATGCCAAAACGAGATCGTTGCGCTCCACATGACTGAAGGCCAGACTATTCAAAAGTATCTGGTACGTTTCAACAAGCTGTCCCAACTTACCGGGTGGAATTCCGTCGCACTCCGCAAAGTGTTCTACGACGGACTTCCGGAGCGCATCCAGATCAAGCTCCGTGATCTTCCCGGTGGCAAGCCCACCTCGCTCGACCTCCTTAAGGTCTCCGCTCAGGCTATCGATGCCTCTCATTGGGAGTGGATTAAAGAGCAGAAACTTCGCCGGTCTCGGAACCCGGCGGCCGGTAAACCCGATCCTCCCCGCAACGACGCTAACAAGTCGGGTCCGTCCGGACCCGGCAAGACTTCTTCCCCGCCTAAGGACAACGCCAAGGGTGACAACAAGGAGAAGAAGAAGTCCGGGGGGAACGGTGGGAACGCCGGTGGATCCCCCGGTAAATCTTCGCCTCCTGCTGATAAACCCTGGGCGAAGTTCCTCGGAGCCGACGGGAAACTGTTGGAGTCCGAGCGGAAGCGGCGGATCGATAACGACCTTTGTCTGTTGTGCGGGGATTCCGGCCACAAGGCCAACGAGTGCGACAAACGTCGTGCCCGCGGCCGCGGCGCCCAAACGACACCTCCTCCGGCCGCCTCCACTTCCGATTCAGCTAACAAGTCGGGAAACTAGTTAGCGACTCTCGGCCTTCCGCGCGACCCGAGGGTCGCTTTGCTAGTCTGGATCGCGCGGCCGACTTGTTTGTACGACTTAATGCCTCTGCCTTGATGGACCCTCATGCCCTTTACCTCTCATTACGATCTCCGCTCCTCCGCGCCGCGTTCCGGGCCCTAGTGGACTCCGGTTCGTCGCATTGCTTCATAGACTCTGTTTTTTGTACCACCAATAATCTCACGCGCGTTCCTGTTTCTCCGATCGGCCTCCGTCTGTTTGACGGATCCTCCGGGTCCGTCATTACTGAGTGCGTTTACCTTGACGTTCTCTTCCCTTCTGGTGACTCGATGGCAATCGAATTCTATGTCACAACTCTGGACTCCGCCTGCTCTGCCGTTCTTGGATACAACTGGCTCACCCGCTACAATCCGTTGATTGATTGGGTTTCGGGCCATATCTCTTTCCGTTCGCCTAGCTCCGTAGGATCCGCACCGGCTCCGTCTGGTGTTCTTCCGTCAGTTTCAGCTGACATTCCGTCTCCGGCTCCCGCCGGATTTCCGCGGTTTCCTCTGTGGAACCTTCTGTCGCTCCTCCGGCCGACGATTCTCCTCCGTCGATCTCCTTCATAGGAGCAGCTGCCTTCGCTCGTGCGCTTCGCGCCGAGGGCAGTACTATGTACCGCCTCACTCTCGCTACGGTTAACGGCCGCTCGGCCTCCGTCGATGAATCGCCTCCAGACCTCAGTCGGCTTCCGCCGGAGTATCATGACTTCGCGGACGTTTTCTCCGCCTCGGAATCTGAGAAGCTGGCTCCGCATCGGCCGTACGACCTCAAAATTGACCTCGAGAACGGCGCCGTACCTCCGCCCGGTCCCATTTATTCCCTTTCACAACTCGAGTTGAAGGCCTTGCGCGAATTCCTCGACAAGAATATCAACAACGGGTTTATTCGTCAGTCCACTTCTCCGCACGGCGCCCCGGTACTCTTCGTTAAGAAGAAGTCCGGTGAACTCCGGCTTTGCGTCGACTTCCGCGCACTTAACCGCATTACGCGCAAAGACCGCTATCCTCTTCCGCTCATTGCCGACCTCCTTGACGCCGGCCGTCGGGCAAAGGTGTTTTCCAAAATTGACTTGAAACATGCTTACCATCTCGTTCGTATCGCAGAAGGCGAGGAATGGAAAACCGCTTTCCGGACCCGGTACGGGTCCTTCGAGTGGATGGTTATGCCTGAAGGTCTCACCAACGCCCCGGCTGCTTTCCAACGTTTCATGAACGACCTCTTTTCCGATCTCCTCGACGTCTATGTCGTTGTCTACCTCGACGATATACTTATCTACTCGGAGGATCCGGCGGAACACCGGAACCACGTTCGAGAAGTCCTTCGCCGGCTCCGCTCGGCCGGACTTTTCGCCTCCTTGAAGAAATGTGACTTCAGCGTCGACACTGTGGAGTTTTTGGGCTACATTATTTCGCCCGCAGGTCTTTCTATGGATAGCTCAAAGGTTAAGGTCATACAGGATTGGCCGGTTCCCCGGAAAATCAAGGACATCCAGTCTTTCCTTGGTTTTGCCAACTTCTATCGGCGCTTTATCTCGGACTACTCGGATATTGTTATTCCGCTCACCCGCTTGACGCGGAAATCTGAGCCTTGGGTTTGGTCACCCAAGTGCCAGCAATCCTTTGACGCCCTTAAAAAAGCGTTCACTTCGGCTCCGATCCTTTCCCACTGGGTTCCCGGTGCACAACTCATTCTTGAAACCGACGCTTCTGACTACGCCATTGCAGCCATTTTATCCCTTGTCTCGCCGGCCGATGGTGATATACATCCCATTGCGTTCCACTCCCGGACGCTCTCGGCCGCCGAACTCAACTACGATACCCACGACAAGGAACTGTTGGCAATATTCGAGGCTTTCCGCGTCTGGCGACGCTACCTCGAAGGCGCGGATCCGCCGGTTGACGTTGTCACCGACCACAAGAACTTGGAGTATTTTTCGACCACTAAGCTCCTGACTCGCCGGCAAGCCCGGTGGTCGGAACTTCTTTCCGCTTTTAACTTCGTCCTTCGGTTCCGCCCCGGCCGTCTCGGTGGCAAGCCCGACGCTCTCACTAGACGATGGGACGTCTACCCGAAAGAGGGGGATAGTGGCTACGCCAGTGCAAATCCGCATAATTTCCGTCCGGTATTCACTCAGCATCAGCTTAATGCATCACTCCGCGCTTCGTCCCTTTACATTCCAGTTCTCCGCGCGGCCGA